AATGCGTCAATCGTCGCATTATTGTCATCAAACCAATCAGGCCGCTTACAGTTTGCGCGCCCGATGGTCTCCTCGGCAGCAGCTATCATCTGGTGGCGAATGTGGTCGCCCACTGTGGCTATGCATTCCACATCACACAGACGTGAAACCATCACCTTCTCCAGCTCAATATGCTTCGCCACAGTACCGAGGGAATGTTAAATTCACGCCGATTCACGGCAGGAGTGCAATATATCGATTTACGGAGATATATGTACAGTTTGGTCCGCACCACTTTATGACCAGTGCCACACTCAGCTCCACGCATATATATATATATATATATATATATATATATATATATATGGAATTATTAAGTGGAAACCATTTAGAAGCACTTGTAAGTGCCAAATTTCAGCTTGACAGTGATCGCATTTTCACTCGCGTTACACCATTATATGCGGCCTTGATGTCCAACTGGGGATCCCCCAAATGACATTACATGTTTGACAGTGGGCACCGGGACTTAGTTGATGTAGTACCGCGGTAGTTGCCGTGCTAACGAGGCCGTAAGCGGCGAATATGCGGTACTGCCAATTTGCAATGCTTAACTTTGCGCAACAATTGTTCTTTGAGAATCTGCACGTATCTCAGGCAACAGATTACCAGACCGGTCGGCGACACGGAGAGCCTGAAGTGAACATCCCATCGCATTCGCATGCTATGCGATCTCTCCCATCAAGTACGCAAACCAGACTGTACATATAGACGGCAAGACCTAAGTACACTGTATCACTTGTTTATTTATCATTCTACACAGTAACTGTGCTGAGGGTAGCTGTTTCACTATTCCTATATCGGTTTTGTTCAAATATGGATGCATAATATTTAAGGCTGTCATTTATGTTCACTTATAACTGTTAAAGAAAACACCAACAGTTCGTATTGGGCACTTATTCTCATACCTGCGATAGTGGCTGTTAACCTGATCTCCAAAGGAAACCCATACACGTTTGTCGTACCATTGATCATGAGGTCCAATGTGTCTCTATCCAGTTTGTGGCAGTTCATACTTGTTTGGATAAACACCTGTGCATATGTTGTATTCGAACTGCCATTGGACACGGATGACCCCAATCCATGGATATATGTATACCGAATGAATTCGACGAGGATACTCTTACCGCTTTTGTACGGCCAAGTTAAAGCAGAGAAACGGCACTCGGGCAAACCGAAAATAACATTACCAGAACATGAAGGTGAGTTTATGACAAACTAATGTTGATTTCAGGTGTTGCGAATCCAAGACAAATTTGATCGATGCGAATTCCGTGGACTGCTCCAGTGGGCGGTTGCTCAGATGCAGAAGGCACTATTGCAAGCGGAATAGGAGCACCATAAGTACGCTCCCATTCGATTTACTAATCCATGTCAATAAGGCGGCGTATGTGATACGTGCGTTGCGCGCCGGGGGTGTGGATGGAAGAAAAGGAGAGGTGGCCAAACGCTGACTTGGTCGAGAGGAATGAAGGTCTCGGTTGGAGCCTCTCAGCTCCCTGGTTGGGTCCGAAAGACGAATACGTTTTGCTGGATACACTTGTTGATATGGCTAGGAGCCGACCTCATTATTTAGCATTTTATAATTTCGCATATTAGACTTTTTTTCTGCTGCATAGTAGCCGGCAGCTAGCTTACCGGAATGATGCCCATCCGTTACCGGTAGCTCAGCTAGCTTGCACCTGTTGTATTTTATTCCCCATTTTCTTTTCGGTATTGCGGCACAGTAGCTGAGGTATTTCCCACCTCTAGCTAACGTGTATAGTGTGTGTGTTCCTGTATTTCAGAAGTAGATTTTGATTGAGTTCCCCGGTGTGGCTGCGCTTGATGTGAATGTTGACAAGGTGCCTACCTGTCTAATACCCTACACTTCGATTGCTGGCTCCAGAAGACAGTTGGTCGTTGCTGGAGGGGACGAGGTGCATTGTCCTCGTGACGGTGCTAGGCTCAAAGAGTGGTTCCATGCAACCTGTGTGGGACGGGCTACGGCTCCAATCCGCCTGCATCCCGGTCTTATTCCTTCGGGTTTACAACGGATATGGGGTGTGTGGGTGGAACTGTGTGTGGTGCAGAGCAAACCACCCATGGTCCCTCTGTGGGCGCAGGCGTCCTGTGGAGGCCGGTGATAGGCAAATCCGGATTCGCATGACGCAAACCATCACATAGGTAGGTAGCACAACGCTCCAGGCCTAGGAGTGATGGAGCACCCAAAAAGAAAGCAGGTAAAATGCGTTGCAGGTGACCATTAAGATCGACAACAAAAGTACTTAGGTAAGTTGAACTGATGTTTCGTTGTTGTACTACCAGAACAACCTAGGAAATGAGGAATAAGAGGGGACTCTAGTGTGAAACGTAAACATCCTAGGCACGCACTCAAGGCCAAACGGCAAACACCTTTTCAACACATACGGCATTGGCAAGACGACTTGTTCGCGTCAAAATCATACAAAAATCCGCAAATAATTTATTATCAGGTACAATTTAAACAAGCAACCTGACCAGGGAACAACGGCAAGTACACCTTATTGGTGTCAGTTGTGAGCCACGTCCTGTAAACTCTGAAGTCAAGCACAAGGTGGGTTACAAGGACACTAGCCTGGAATGCGATTTCAGTTTCTGTTGCCAAACCAACCTATGCTTATGTTGAGCCCTACGCCTTCTAATATCTGGCAAACAAAACAAGTCTCTCAATAGTAAGCAGTAACGAGGCATACGTCGTGCTCAAAAGTACCACCTTGACCCAATTGCGCACATAATCGTTGGGAACACACATCTGAAACCACCAATGCTCCGCAGGTGAAAATGACCAAAGACTGGGAGGCACATTAGGCCCTCCGACCAAAGGAGCCAAGCCTCACTCTCACCCAGCGGGTAAACCTTCACTACAATCGTGTACACACGGTCTTTCAGACAGGCAAATCCCTATCTGACGTCACAGGTTCAAGAAGGCTGTTTTAGCTTTCGCAATATGTGAAGCAACCTCAGGAGTCACTTGCACACCGTTGTTAATGCAGTTGCCAGGGTAGGTGAACTGGTCAACCACTTCTAGTTCCTCATCCTCAAGATCCAGGGATAATCAAATAGCTGGTGGTCCTGCAGCAATGCTTTGAAGGTGCGAAGCACTCACCAAACGATGGGCCACTCCGGAGTTTATCCAGGGCTGACTTCGCCGCCTCACCACGGTCAAACAGGGAGAAGATATAGTCCACATATCCAAGATCAACTAATTTGCCAGCAGGCAGAATTTCAATTCGTACATCGTAAGACTCCACAAAGGAACACTATGAAGGAATCCATGACAAGGCTGAACAAAAGTGGGCAGATTGGACAGAAATGCCCAACACCACCTGTTGTTAGAAAGGCGCCCGATAAGTCATTGTGAACCAGGAGGCGATATGTAGTGTTTAAGTACAAGACACGTAGAGAATGTCAACATATTTGACGGATAGATTGGACGGGATATAGTGCTCGACTAAGTGTAAAATGTACCCCTGAGGTCGAAGAATAAATGTGTACTCAGTCTGCGGTAAGCGGGATGTTATCCTAACATTCGCCGAAGAGTGAATAGATGACCTATACGACTTCGTCCAGGACAGAAACCTGCTTACTCTTCCCTCACCGCGATCTCCTTCCTCAGTGAGGCGGCAAACGAGAACCAGCAACCTTGTTACGACCTACGTTAGGCTGAAACGTCTATGGTACATGCAATTAATGCGACTGTCCTTATAGATTGTGAATATGGTCGAATCACTCCAACAGTTTGGGATGGTCCCTTCCTTCCAGACTTGTGCGAATAGATGGGTCAGTATGTTGAGGGGATCTCATCTTCATAAGTAAATATCGCGAGTGCAAGGGAATCCGGACCAGCTGTTCGAAGATGATTGAGAGATGTGATCGCGTTTAGAACTTGTCTCCGATGGAGTCACTGAAGTAACCGCTTAAGGGGCAGTATGCACCAATACCGTTAAGAGGTCCAGAAGCAAGGGGCCAATTGGGCTGCTCTCGAAAGTGGTTCGCTTGACCAGCCAAATGGCTTAGGGATAGCAGTCACAACTAAGATCCCAATGATCCGGGGGTTCGATGCCTGCTATCCCTGTCTGATGAGATCAAATGTCGGCCAGGAGCCTTAAGGATAACCAATCTGCCCGGTAATCTGAAAGCGCGGGTTCGAGCCCCGCAGTATCCTTAGCTGACATGTGACCGGTGGCGGCTGCGAAGCGTACTGCTGATGACTATTTTTGCTATTTGTAAGTGAATGCACCGGTGTTATCCCTGATTATCTTAATGGTGCATAAATTTGAGTCAAACTACAAAATGAGTAAATTTAGTCTAGTTTGACGGTTTCGTGTGGAAACGATATGTGACGGTGGCTGAGACCTGGGGCGAATCGAATAGTAGCGGTACCGACGGACCGGGAGCCAATCAGATGTCACCGACGAAAGATGAACCCGCACGACGAGTCCAGCCCAGCGTAAAGGAGAAATAGCATGACTTCGAACAGCTGAGAAGCGGATTGGTCCGCCGTGCGGCTGAATCCACGATAACAACACGGTCCGCCGAAGTAGCCAGCCAGCTGAGGGAGCACCAGTCAGACGCCACCCATGACAGCCGACCGTGCAGTATATCCGCGGTAGCGGAAACGAGGCCCAATGTAACTCTGGACTCCATAAGCGTGGATCAGCCGGTTTGGAGACAAAGCGCGAACCAATGGAATGTAACCAAAGGTACAGGCCGGTTAACAGGGGCCAGCTAGTGAAACGAATCACAGAAAAACAGTAAATCTAAGTTTTGTACTCTAAAAATAAATTCGAATCTTCTTACTAACGGATTTATGATCGCCGCCCAGACTTTGTTTTGATTTCCGAGGAGCTACTCGACAGTAAACATATTGTATCGATGGACAGCAGAGAGAAGTAGGCTGATGACCGAATATGCGATAGATTCTGTTGACTCAAAGAAAAATTGAGCGACAAAGTTTATTAGACAAATTGAATGAACAACAAATAGCGGATGAACACACAGAATGTCTACTTTGAATTAGCGGAAGAAGATACAAGAAAGCGGCAATGGATAAGAAGTTCGATGAGTGCGAGGTTTGTTCACACACACACATACACACACCGTGGGGAACACGCAGTGGACTGAGAAGAGGCTCGGGGTGGCGGGTACAGCATGGCTTGCAACTTTGGCATTGTGTGACGATCTGAAGCAAAATGTAGATGGTGCGATTTAACGTGAGAAAGGGAAAACAATTGTTCTGTATGTTCTAAATTATCGGACACACAATTATAGAGACCAAAAGGTGATACGGTTGGGAATAAACTGACGTTTCCTAGGGCAGGACGTAAAGGCTCAATAAGGAGGCGAAGACAGTTCGGAGAGATAGCATCGCCGAAGACAGACACATGATTGAACGTAAGTGTGGACGATTTCAAATGTAAACGCCACACACATTGAGATTGTCAGAATATTTAACCAATGTAAAGCAGTGTGATCTGAAGAGCTGGACACGTGAAAGACGTGGGCATCTGATCCAAAGAGATGAACGAACTTAGGGTTATGGATTCGGCTATACTGACCCAAAGACAGACTTACTGAGTGTTTAGATTTGGAGGAAATAAGGACAGAAAAAAACTAGAGGCGAGATTAAGCGAATATGTAGTAAATTAGGATAGAGTTGAAGATTTGGAAGAGACGGACAAGTGATCAGAGATCTGCATCTGGATTTGCTTGAATCTCAGTACCAGCTAACAAGAGACTTGTTATTACGCACTGAAGATGCCACCCTAGATTGGTGGCGAAACGTCTGCAATCAAGTTGCCTAGCTCGGCCAACATCACAACACGTGAATAATGATAGGTAGTGTTAGACAGGCTCGCGCTTCATAGCCGCTCACGGCTAGATAGTTTGACATTCGTGATTGTCTCTGCAGGTGATTGTGTTGGACACACGCACGACTGTCGTTCAGAGCTAGATCGCTCACCAAGCATGCCTATGCCATCTCATGTGGTTGGCCTATTGATCTCCTGCATCCCGGTTGCTCAGCTTTGCCAGTTTTTCAATACAGCTCGTCCGGCACGGTGGTGTTCTTGCTTCCCGTTCGGAGTGGGTTCAGTTACAGTCAGACGTTATAATAGGTAGCTATTCCATCAAACGAGGAGCTGGGTCCATATTTAGCACAGATCATAGGCACAGGCAGTGTCTTTTTTCTACGTTAAAGGGAAGTACATTGTTGCACAGAAAACGTTGAAGACATTAGGGACTGCCTAGGTAGCGTGAATTGCCCTTGTCTCACCCATCAGATGTGATATGAGTCCACAACCAACTGATCATCGCTCCCACTACGCGGCTAGTAAAGCAATTGTACGCGTAAGCAACTAGATTAGCATTCGAAGTGCCAGATTTGGACAGAAAATAGTGAGGAGTCAGCAGCACACAAGCGAAAATCATGAGTGCGTCGATAAAACAAAAAAGTGACAGAAATACTTACTCTGCAAGCACCCACACAAAGAGGTTGACCACCAGAAGAAAGCATTCCGCTCGGTTGAAACGCATCGAGTATTCCAATAAAGTGTGGATGTTTTGAGACCCAAGACCTGAGTCCAGCCGGAGTCCGTCACTGGCAAAGCGCAAAGTTAATTGTTAAATACCGTTCGCCGCTCGCCTACATCGGATGGTGCGCAAACACAGAACGGGACACGGTAAGAAGGAAGAAAAGACAAAGGTAACGGGATCAGTAACATGTCTACATTAACGGCAGACGGCTGTTGTCCCGACGCAGGAGCGTGCGAAGAATGCATCGAAAAAATCGGGTTCGCGATTGAGCGAACTCTAGATGACAACAGGCTGCCATCAAGGAAAACACTTCGCCGATTCTGTTATCCACATCTTCACTGTGGTCCTGACACTTGCTAGATGCGTACTCACAAAATCGAGCGCTGCCAAGTGGCGATTGGTGCTTAGTGACAAACTTTGCGCTTGACAGACAACAAGCGGTAAGTAGAATCGAACTATTAGGTCTGTCGGTGAGATCCACTTCAGGTCAGGACACTCGATGGGGATGATGTCGAGAGGGGCACCCATGGTTTACCTTGCGGATTTTCAAACCCAGGCGGTCCAGCCCTCATACATGAGGGCCAAGTTGTCGATGTCCGTGGCAGATCGAATGCAGACGTCCACTTGTTCACGCACTGACATACAGGTTGTACCACCAACGCGTCGGTCATCGTTAGGTTCAAAGTTACCAGATAACGAGCAATTGAGAGTTGGATCGAGACCCATGAGTCGATTTCGAATAAGACACCAGATACTGAGCGCTTGAAGATTTACTGGCTCACCGGTATAGGGAAGCGGCTGCAAAAGGTTAGAAAATAACAATCAGGAAACAGAAGACTTGGTAACATGGCAACAGTAAGAAATACCATCATGAAAGAGATCTAAACGGCTTGTGATCAAATACCGAAATGTAGGTGAGAGTATAATTGAGGCTGGAGAGCTAGTGCCACTAACTGACCTAAAAATGGAGAGCATATGGGGAATGTGAGAGGCAGGATGAAAAAGTATACTGTTTTTATTATTCGTGACAAACAGACAATTGAGACGTACATTGATTTCGCGTGAGTATGGAAACATAATGAAATAAGAGGAGCCACCAAGTCGAGGATCGATGGATTGAGATAGGTTCTGAGACACATCAACCATGATGGCTTATTGGATCAAACCGCTCGAAAGTGCAGGGGAGGAGCAACTTGAGCTACCTCAATAGAACAGACGCCTTTCAGGCAGCTTGGTGCACAAGTCGGTCAAACAGGGGCGACAAACTTTAATCATGTAAAAACGTTAGAGAACGCCACGTGAGATATATGGGAATTGGAGGTGAAACGATTTACTAATGAGACTAAAAAAGTGACATTTCACCGGTGATCCATTAGAGGAATCGGAAGCATGGCGGAACTTTTCTACAGACAAAAGCGAAGGTAGTTGTGTTTTGGTTAGATTACTGGGGAGTCACCCGCATATACACAGGCTCGGACCAGCTAGCGATGGAAAACAGTAAAGGGGGGGGGGGAATTAGTGCAACAGCAGCAGCAGACAATAGAATAGGCTCACACAAGCTTCAACCTGAATACCCACGATAATTCTACATCACTGATAACCGGCAGTGTTGGGGTCGTACAGAGCACAACGTTCCACTGAAAGAAAAAAACAATCAGCAGTACGTCCGCACGCCGCACTGACGTTTCGCGCTGCCACGTGATCGCCAATGGTTGGTGTGTAGCCGAGGTTGTCTGCACTTTCGTAGACTGGAAACGGTGACCTTAAGATTACAAGCAAGAGCAATGTTCCACGTGTTGTGTCGCCACTGACGCCTTCGCCGCACGACCACAAGAAGAAGTCCAAAGACGAGCCAGAAAGAGGCTTGTATACACGAAATCACAGTTGCTTATATAGTTTTGAAGGCAAAATGAAGGGAAGTTACTAAATTACACTTGAGCCAACCAACAGAAGGAAAACGTCAAATGCAACGGCGAATAAGCAACCGTGTACTCAAGAGCGAATCGCATATGTCTTTAAAAATAGCATCATGGGACCCCAAGCGTAAAGCGAACATCCATTTACAGTGACGGGCGCTGGCCAATCAGAAAAACGAAATGAAGCGTTTAAACAAATGTCACGAAACAAAGGAGAATAAGAAGTGCAGACCAAAAAGAAAAAAACTAGCACAACTAAATATTCCTTTAACGTAACCAATTAGAAGAGTGATGCGGTAAAAACCAATGGAATGTGTTCTTGCAAATGGCACTGCTGAAGAGGACACAGAGATGAGCGTCCATTAACAATGACGTGTGTGTATCAATCGGGCTAACACGGTGGAGCGTTTAAACAACAGTCAAGAAGTAGAAAATAGGAAGAATAAAGAATGGTTGTTTAACTCGTTCACAAAAATGGATGTCTAATAGCCAATCCCTAATACCACGGACTAGAAAGGCCGGAATCCAAAACAACACAAGATTATGAGAGTTCAGAGCAATAAAAGATTGTGATTTTCGGGTTTTGGAGCCTCGTTGTGTATCTTGGATTGTGACGCGCAATCTCAATTGTGACCCCGGTTAACTTTGAAGAGCCACACCGAAACCCTCCACTACGGTGACGGTCCCAGTGACTGTATTGGCAGAGGCTGACTTCAAAGTCAATCGAGGCCCCGATTGAGATTGCGCGTCGCAATCCAAGACACACGGCGGGTGCTCCAAAACCCGAAAATCAGCTTCTAACTACTGTGTCAAACAAAGCTCGCGGAGCTCAGTCGTCTAGTGATCATGGTACTATACGCCTAACACTACGCGCCGAGTTCCATTCCCAGCTCGGCTATCTCTACCTGATGACTCGGTAGTGGAGTGAAGGGATGGGAGATAGCCACACCGAAACCCTGCAGCAATGAAATATTGTTTATCCACTAACACACCTAAGGAGCCAAGGGCAAAAGCCTGATGGAAAGAGCTGTGGCCGAGAAGGAAAGTGCCAGTTGTGAAGTCTACCGACTAGTTTTGGTCTTTGGATATGAACCAAAGTGCGGACGATATTGCGCTACCGGTGCGCGAAACAGCCATAAAGAGAGAATAGGAAGGAGTGGAGTTCACAGCATTTTAGGGAGTCAGTGTGCGAGGAATCTTCGATAAGCATGGTGACATTTGTTTGGCATAGTAAAAGGAGAGTACACACAATGTAGTGGCTAATATAGTTCATTAGAATGAGAATGAAAGCATTGCAATCGAACACTCGTTAGGACAACTTTTGTGTCGGAATCCCGGTTGACATCGAACGAAACGTCTGGTTTATGGAGAAAATTAGTAATACTTACTGTTGGTAGCGCAAAACCTCGGGAGTTACGTCCGCTCCTGGGTGTAGGCATACCGGTGGAAGACTGTAGCTCCGTCGAGGAAGCAGCAGGGAGCGGGGGATTGAGAGACAGTGTAGCCAAAAGATGACACTCCAAGTTGGACAGAAGTTCGCGGAAATTTCGGGACATACCCTCATCCGAGTTCAATGTTTGGCGAACAGCAGTGATCAATGGAGAGAGCAATTCCGTCCAAACGCGGGACTGTAGCGAGCGGCATTCGGCCAATATACGACAAGCCTCATTGGCCTCTGATCTGAGGCAAGAGCCAGGATCCGTTCGTTCTTCGGAAGACTCATCGTTAGCAGATTGACGCACAAACTGAGTCAGTTGTTTTATCAGCTGCAATGCACAGGTAATCCACGACTGATGAGCCTCAAGCCAGGAAGACCAGAATGAGATCTGTTGCGAAGAACTGTTTTCACAAAACGTTAACGAAGAGCGAGCAGCGTCGTAGCGACTCAACATTTTCACCGACTGCCGAATTTCCGAGAGAAATTCACACTGTAGGGTAGTTAAAGCAACACGGAGCGCAGTTATCAGAGCAGACTGATTTTCGGCATGAGTGGAGGGCAGGGAAGGACTAGTAGGTAGGACAGGAGACGATGCCATTGCTCGTTGTTGCGAATGACGAGTTTGACGTTTATGTGGAAGACGTCCTGGTACAACTGAATTCGTGGTAATCTTTTCAGAGAGAGGGTGATTCGGTACAGAACCGTGATCGAGAGAACGTAATTCAGATCGGATACGATACAGTTGCCTAGTTGCACTCTTTAGCAGAGTTGCTGCATTTGTGACATTCAAGTTGAGCTGTTCACTTAAAGTACACAGGGCGCCGTGATCTGATGAAACGCAGGGACCTGACAGCCAAGCACGCGCGGGCCACTGGAGTTTGTACTGATCCTAGTGAAAAATAGTATAGATAATAAGATATTGAATAATATGAGTGTGCCGGTTGTCATGATATTTACTGCGACACACCCCTTGATATACTACTCACCTTCAAACTCAGCAATATCTTGTCTAGTTCAATGAGGGAAGTGTCTGCGGACAGTTTCAACTGCATTGCGTCGTTCAGTTGCTCCAGCAGATTGCGGCAGGTTTTAGAGTATGAACATGCTTCAGGATGCCTGAGAAAAGGGGAATATGGCTCATTCAACAAGTGGCCCAGACAGATGTGTGAAATAGAGCAATAGAAATACGTACACGGAGCTCTGAAGTATTACCAGGATAATGTAGTGTATACACACCAATGGAAGAGTAGAACTTCAAAATGCTCGTATGTAGGGGTGCCAACGAGTACATCACTTAGTGCATGTTAAAGGAAATGCTGCTACTTACCCGATTCGTAGTCGTTCGAAGAAGCAAATAGCTTTGGCGACTTGAACAAGCGCCTGCACACTGGGACTGGGTTGCTCCGCTGATGAAGTCACATCAGATAACGATTTCTGTATGGCTTCCAACACGTCTACGATATCTGGTACCAAAGGCGATTGTACAGGTCCATTAATTTCGACTGGCATACGGGGCAACGAACTGTGGGAGTGAGTCCAACGAATTACTGCCAGAGTTGTAGTCAAATGCACCAAATTCTTTTCAGCCAGCTCTAAATTCTTGGCTCTACACCAACGATCACCCGCCTCGCCGGCGCGATCAGCTAATCGATGGATTAAGTTAGAAGCGGGACCACGTAGGTGTTGAACACCGACGGGACGAATGACAGATAGATGAAGACACGCAGTCTCCGTTAATTTATCTGATGTTATGTTAGTGAGCACAGGGGTGGTGATACCAGAAGCTGTTTTAGTTAGAGCGTCACTTTCCAGCACGAGTCGACGGATGGACACACCAGTATTTTCTATAAGAGCACAGTACAAGCGCCCTAGAGCAAGACCTGTAAGACTAGCCAGGGCAGTGCGAGATATCAGGCGGCCAATGAAACGGTCTGCAGGACGGGAGAATGGAGTTAGAATGATATCTTCTTTGACATCGGTGCTTGAAAGTTGCAGAGCTTGCCAGTGGGATCGGTTTTCATCCAATAGAGACACAAATGCCATCAGCCCTGATGCGTAGACTTCATCGAGCCAAGAGCATGGTGAGGTAGAATCAGTGTGCGTATCGCATCCGCCAGATGGTTCCCAACCCCACAGACAGGTGGCACCATCATGCCAACCGGAGCAGCGTGAAAGCAGAGTAGCCGTCGCTTGGGCCATCAAATCCACATAATACCAAGCGGGCGCGGTGATGGGGTATGCACGGATACGCAGAGCGATTTCCTCCAACTGTGCGGTGGTATTGGTGAGAGCTAAGTGCACTGCGATGAGTATTTGATGCAAACGGCCGTCAGCTGAGTTGGTTATAACATATGTTTTGAGGTAAGTCCCAACCAGCTCGGAGAGATTGGCGACGTTCGAATCAGTTAAATGTCGAGCCACGAATTTGGAGAAATCTTCCGCCAAATCGCCAACTGCATTAACCATTAATGCATCAATAGCTTCGGGTAGAAGAAGTCTCGTGAGATTGGAATACAAGCGAGACAAGCAGAGACACACATCTCGAATGCTCAGAAAGAAAGCTAACTCGCGGCGAACATCCGCCTCAAAACCTGCGGTGAAATGCAGAGTACCGGTTTGAGGATGATGCAGCACGCTGAACAAGCCGGTCAGGCATTCCGCATACATCGTCAACTGATCCAGATAATTACAGGGCAAATCGGAGAGGCTCGTGTCGTTGCATTGATGCCAAGAGTGCGGATCGGTTTCTAGGTTCAGTACACTGGCGACCACGTTAGGAAGATAGTCTATCAAAGCCCAACAGTAAGCCATAAGGCCGAGTGATCCTTGATCGTAAAGAAACAAATGCAAATTGTCCAATTCGGGCCGGATAACAACTTGCCATTCCAACAATGCCGGGGACCCAGAAGGAGCGGCATCCGTTGGACCACCTTTCAGTTGTTCGATGAGACATTCCTGTTCATGAATAGCCTTCTCTAGATTATGGATAAGTGCATAATCAGTTGCAAGGTCGACTGGTGCCTGTTGAAGTGATTCCAAATGTGTGGTGCATGCTTGTATGGATTCGGCGGTGATAGGCTGCAACCTGACGAGAACACTCAACGAAGACTGAGCGGAGATAACATGGTTCATCCAGCATTCCTGAGTAGGTCGCAGTGAGGGATGCGACAGATAAACTCGCGCGATGGAATAGTAGCGCGACACTGTGTTCACGAGTTCAGGTACATCTGAACAAAGCAAGACACTCGGGAGCCAAGTGGGGTCATCCAATTGCTTAAAGGCCTCCCACAGGGCTTCCGCATCCGCCGACCATGTACGTAGTTGTGCAGATAGAGAGTCTTGGAGATAAAGTAAGTTTTGATAAGCCGCTTCGGAAGCGCGACAACGTTTCTCAGACAAATCAAGTTCTGAGGTGGTGGCATCAGTGAGTGTACGATGAGATCGTTTAGCGATGGATGCTTCCGAATCAGTTAGGCGCCATTCATCCCAAGTACGTAAACGGTCGATGACTTGTTCCAGGGCGGAATGAACAGTTTGGAGTGAACGAGTGTGACACATTTCGTACAATCGTGTTGCTATAAGACCAACGTACAAGCGACTCTCAGCATTAATCCGATGAAGCTTACGCAAATGTGTGGCGATTTGGTGCTTATGGGTTGTAGAACTGCCACCGCCCATGTAGGCGCTAAGGTGAGTGAAGTCAGTGACAACGATGGGGGCTGATGACTGGGCGGAAGACATCGGGCGTTTGCATTGCCAGTCCACAAGTGGATCTATGAGGAACCCTTTCAGTTGAATAAGGAATGGATCCGAGACGGTGCGCACTAGTTGTAATGCTTCTTCAGCGGCTGTGCGGAAGGTGCCACGCACGCGAAAGTCTCCAGCCAACGGACCCAGTGCATGGCGAAGGATGCGTGTCAATCGGAAGGGAACACGTTCAGCCACTCGTAGAGTTCGTCCTTTGTCAAAACACACATTGTAATCGATGTGGATCAGATGACCAGTTGTCAAATCCACCAACAAGTTATCCAAGTGCCGATCGCCTAAACCCACCAGATAGCCTATGATACTCATGAGACCTGCCGAACGGGCGAACGTGCGTGAGGCATGCCACCAGCTGGCCGACGAAGGGTTAGAGGCCCATATTTCACGAGAAAGTAAATCAGCAGGAGTTTCAGCTTCTAATGACAATAAAACCTCCCTGAGCGTCTCCAAGGGCCATGAAGAACGAGCATGGGAATGATATGGAAGACCGGCATTAATGAGGAAATCTTTCAGACGAGCGTGAAACAATTCACCAGGTCTCGGTATTTGCATGACTCCGGAAGAAGGGGCCAAAGGTAAATCACTGTCCAATTTACTCGCGCGCATTTGCCAGCGCTTGTATAGGCTAAATAACGGCGTAGCGCCTTGAACCATTTGTAACAAACCAGCACGAACACCCAAGGGAGTGACAGCATAGGTGCGTGCACAAATTTGATTGACGTGAACGGCGCCTGCACCGGAAAGTTCAGCCATAGCGAGATTGACTAACTCAAATAGGCGCATGACACGATCATCCAAGCGTAGGTCTTCGAGTCCTTTTAGCAAATATGGATAAGAATGTCCGTTTTCAGCGCAAAACACCAGGCGCTTGGGACGTGTTTTGGTGGGTAAAACTGCGATACGACTTGACAGACGGACTGATTGCAATTCAAATCTACCTGGTAATGGGATGCCGCCGAAAGTTTGACGATCGGGGGCGACAGAATCAAGACAATCAGATTCGCAACCGAAGCGCATACGAGCCAATCGAGGACTCAGATGATGCAGGCTAAAATAGAGAATGCTGCTGAAGGAAGAGCGTGCTGGGGCAACGTAGTTGACCTGTTCACGGGTTGAAAGTTCGTTGGGTCTAATGGTCGCCGCAACACGGGTGGAGTCCGGCCAATGGTGCACGGATTGCAGTTGGCTGATAAGATGCCGCATAAGGCCCAAGGGAGCCTTGGCGTCCATCACATCAACAGGATTAGTGAGAGATTCGCGTAGTTCAGAAATCATCTGAAGGTGCAAAATGAGAGAAAAACAAGAGTGAAGGGTTCAGACAATGCAACAAAGATGACGTAATAGGTGAATAGTGACACAAGAGCGATGAGCGCCACCAAAATGAGGGTGGGCAATAGTATAAACAATACGAGAAATACGTATGTTTGAAAAAATACTGACTCCTTAATGGAGGCGAGCAGAAATTGGGGAACACCTGGAAGTGGTTTTGGCCTAAGAAGGCTAGTATATTTAATTCGAGAAGAAATGGCTCGATTATCAAGATGATCGAATAAATTAAAAACGGGAACATAAGTTTGACGCCGGAAGCCAGTTTTGGTATCTTGTACGAGTGGCACAGCGTGTGGTATCCCAAAGTAACAGTCAAGGGAGCAAAACCGAAAGGCGGTCAAGTGAAGAATCTATTCGCAGGTACCACTTCCGATTTGGTATGGCATCAAACCCAACGGCAGCCTATGATTATCACATGAAGATATTAAACTGTAAAATGCATGAGCTTAAATACAGAATCCAGTTCTAACTACTCTCGGCTACGAGCACGGAGAAGAATGGTAAACTGAGAACGCAGTGGCTTACAGTGTAAACAGTGATTGACGGTGGTCAATGATAAATAGTACGTTAACGAAGGTTTCATAGGGGTTGGCGATCGAAAATTAATGGAACGTAGTTGGGTGTGTTATGCCGAATATCGATGGGAAAATCTGTGCAGCGAACCAACAATTAGAAGGTTCACTAAGCAGTTCGTTGCAGTTCTCAAGTCTACTGGGAAAATCGAAGAGACCGGAGTGTTACAGGATAAGGATCAGCATGGTGACCTCTGAGCCTCGACTCTGCAGTGATACAGTGTCTAATGAGTTCATTAGCCAAAGGATAAATCCCCAGGCCAAGAGGGGTCACAGCAAGAGCTCGGAAATTCAGACGACTTTCAGGTGAGTTGATTTGCAAACACACATGAAGTCATGAAGTGACTTACTGGACCAAAAGTACGCTGGAACCATTCTTCGTGTGGGGTCTCGGGTTGCACTTCCAAGGTGAGTGCGGACAATTGGGATAAAAGGCTAAGAGTAGGCTGTGCGATTGACAAGAACTTCAATGCGATGATCCTCTGTAGTTTTTGTGCTGATTGAGTGGATTCATCTGGCATGACAGAGTCTGTTGAGACGTGTGACACAGATAACTCCGACTGGTTTGAGAACAGGGCATCCCGATGCGGAGACGCGTGAGAGTGGCACTTGCTGTTGGCGACTTGAATGTGCTCGGTTGTGACTTTGGCGACAGTAGATGGATTGGAGTTGAAAAACTGTACTGACCGCTTGATTTCTGATTCTAACAGTGCGAGCTGTGTACATAATCGGAAATGAAAATAAAATGGAATAGAATGGAAGTTGAAATTCATGTTACACGCAGTCAATTCATATGAAAATTGGGACTAATATACAAATAAGATACCTAATGCCACTGCTGACCTAAAATCGCTGAACAGACTTATGTGGTTCGACGGGTAAACATGCCTGACATCGCAGTAAGAATAAAATTAAAGGGAATAATAAAGAAGTGGATCTAAGAAGAACACAAAGAAAACAATAAGGGGATAGAAATAAAGCATACTGTCAATTGGAAATGGGCGAGTGCATTTAACAGTACCAGCGCGGTTCCAGAAAGAGTTTAGGCCATAGATAGGTCACCATCGCCTACATGACTTGCTCTGCAACACCAATCCACAAGTCATCACTGAGATTTGCAGATGTCGTCACATTGGACCAGGCACACACACACACACACACACACACACACACACAATCGACAATGAAACAGAAAGTCGGGGGTATATGCAGAGAACGTGATTCGACTGTTGTATATGCAGGGTGAACCCCATAGTCTGGTCCAATGCAAGAGTGATTTGCAAAATACCAAGCAGCAACTTGGTGTCCAAATGAAGAAAAGCAAGGTTTTGTAGCCATAGGCAAATAGTAGAATCAAAACATCTGCTGAGTACATAGAATATAATCTCGATCCATAGAATACCTCAATCAGCACTGTTCACGTCGCTTTGCATAGCGAGTCGTCTCTAAAGAGGCTAAAGTAGCTATAGGGGCGTTATATGTTCAGTAAAGCCATTTGAAATTCGACCACTAAAGTAACACAGTCACTTAAGTACTTCAACTAACCGACTAATTGGAGTAGCTCCTCGCGCTCAGCGAAAGTGATGACGGGTCGGCCTAGTTTTGCACTGACACCAAGTATCATGTACAATAAAGTGGACACACCGGCGTACAGCGCACTTCGCTGATTGATAGGGACGGAAGCTGTCCCAGGAACAGCTATGATATCCTTACATTCTGAGCCTGCGAGTAAGCTCCCGGGTAAAAACTGTACAGCCAATGAAGTAAACCGAGTAGAATAATTAGTGACCTGTTCGGCCATAAAAGGAAAGGAAACAAGAGGAAGTTCAAGGGTGACCCAGTGACATCAGCAGACACTAAAAAGGATTTTTTGTCAATTCATAAGGGGCCATAGAAACTGAAGAAGTCTACAATAGGAAGGAGCACCACCGGAGCGTCATTCAATGGCGACTGACGTCGTAAGTAGGTGTCAACGGCTGAATCAAAGCCGGTCTTCATACGGAGAAAGATGGTAGTGCGTTGTTCGAGCGGCAGATGTCGTAAGCGTCGTGCATCACTTTGTCATTAGGCTGTACCCTTAGTTCCAAACTATGGAGTTTAAATCATCGCATTCCCGGGAGCTCAAATCACTTTGTGTCGTCGTTCAAAGTGCAGGCGGGGTAGTCATTAGTGTTTTCCTGGTTAGCAAGCGGAAGCGCCCTGTAGAAGGTGTATTACTTTACAAAGATGGTTGGCGGCATCCGGTTCCGGTTTTGCCTGCCAATGCGGCCTCCATAGAACAGCCACAGGGCGCCTGCGCCTACAGAGAGACCATGGGTGGCTTGCGCTGCACCATCCACACATCCCATATCCAATGTAAACCCGAAGGAATAAGACTGGTAGGCAAGCGGATGGGAGCCACATTTCATTAACGGAGCCGGTCCACACTCCTTCAACATACACAGCAGCAGCATTCCTGTCTATCTATGGTGGGAACCGTGCGTACCATACGTACACACGACGGTGGCTGAGCTGTAGTCTGCTCCAGACTAGATGGAACCACTCAGCCTAGCGCAACAACGAGGACAGTGCACCCCGTCCTCGCATCACACCCCCAACAAGGATTCACAGTCTCCTGGGGCCAGTAATCGAGGTGGAGGGTGTTAGACAGGTAGGCACCTTGTTAACATTCACCTCAAGCGCAGCCACACCGGGGATATCAAACAACTAACATAGAGTTTGATGGAAAGCAAACACGCAAAACTGACACCGAATAGACAGCAGAGTAACAGAATTGAACAAAGCAAATAAAGTGAAATGACTTATATCCAGATTAAAATGACCTAGAGTAAGTTGGTTTAGCCCAACTGCGGTGAAGTAGCATCATGAATGCAACATCAACCTCAGCATGAGGCATACGTTTGTCACACATAGTTAGCCGCATCCGGTTCCGGATTTGCCTGTCACTGTGGCGCCCAGAGGACAGCCACAGGACGCCTGTGCGTACAGAGGGGCCATGGGTGATTTGCACTGCACCACCCACAGCTCCATTCGCACACCCCAAATCCAGTGGAGACCCGAAGACATGTGGATGGGAGCCACGTTTCGTCAACGGGGCCGGTCCACACTCCTTTAACATACACAGCAGCAGCATTCCTGTCTATCTATGTAGGGAATCACGCGTACCAGACGTACACAAGGCGGTGGCTGGGCCGTAGCCCGTCCCACACTGGATGGAACCACTCTTTGAGCATAGCACGGCAACGAGGACCGTGCATCGATTACCAGGTTCAGAACATCACCCCCGGAGGCTACTTCGAGGTCGATGTGTGCAGATCACAATCATAGCACCAACAAAGCCGCCTTGCAACACAAGCATTCGCGTCGAGTTACTTGAAGCCCACCGATAGGACGGGTTAATCCGGACTCTGACCGCGTTGTTATAGACGGCACATGTCACAGTCCGAGATCGGCCGCCGATTCTAACTATGGATCCGAATGACGCGCATCTATCCGACTCCGGTGAAGTGCGCAACTTCCAGACAGTTTACTAATCAATTACATCCACAGAACGTGAACTAGTAATGTGAAGCTGAATTATAGCGCCAGTTGTCGCTGACAAACGGGGTGGGCCAAGAAATGGTGATCGCGATTGCCCCTCGATGTGTAATGTCGGACGAAAGTGGAGGGTACAGGTCGACGATTATCTACAAGTGGCGTGCCTCAAGGCACTGTGCTGAGACCCACTCTGTTCCAGATCCACATAAACGATCTACCTCAGCTTCTCTGGTCGCCGTGTGCCTTGTTTGCGGACGACATGAAGAGTTGGAGATAAAGTGATGCTCTCGACGACTGTGGCAAAGTTCTGTAAGATCTCAACTGCGTATCCACATGGTCTGCAGCAGTTCGTCTCCAGGTCAACCTAACCAAGTCTGTATTTATGAACCTGGGGAAGGATGCTGACGGCCGAACCTAACCTTTGAAGGCCAACCGCTATATCCCACACCCTCCGTGAAGGACCTACGTGTACTCTCGCGCTACGATTTGTAGGCCGTGGAGAACACGAACAGGCTATGTTGTAACGGAATGCGCATGCTTTGGGCGCTTAAACACAGTTTTTGGACTTAGTCTGAAGAGGTTGCAACTCGCTTCTTTTCTTCCATCATAAGACCAATGAAAGAGTACGGTTCGCCCGTCTACTTTCCGATTACCCGAGACGAGGCACAAAAGATCGAACGGGTCCAACACGTTGCTACCAGGCTCATCCCGAGTTTACGTGGCTAGGGGTATGAAGACCGGTGCGAGAAACTAGTACTCTACACCTTGTCCTACCGTCGGGTGCGAGTTGACCTCATTATGACCTACCGTATTCTACATCTCGGTGACTTCCCAATGCTAAGGCCAATGCTGCACTTACGAGGGCCATGCAGCACACGTGGACACAGATACAAACTTGTCGTGCCGGATGTGAAGCGAGTTCTCTACCCACTGTGCTTTGAACGGAGAGTGGTAAATATTTGGAACAGTTTACCTGAACATGTGATGGAGGCAACATCTGTGCAGCAGTTCAAAACGTTGTTAGATTTAGATTTTACCACTAATCGATTCAGAGAACGATTGCACACTTATGATGACATATCACATTTGTGAGTCCTGCAATATCGTCAGTTAGATAGTTTAAATGTTACATGAGAGCGATAACAATATTCACGGCTGACAACTCTTATAACGTTTTTCACCATATTTCGAAAGAGTTGTATAGAATTCATTTCTACTTGCTCTATAATACAGTATTCAGTAAATGTGAACACTTATCCATGCAGCAAAAGGAAGATCCATAGAAGTTGGATAAATCCAATCGGGACAAGAAAGCCAGTTCCGCTAGGGAACCGGATTCAAAATGATTGTGGCACTGAAACGCCGCGTCTACTAAGGGGACTATATAAGTAACCGAAAATATTGGCAGATGGCGAAGTATTGTGAAGTGAATAAAAGTACCAACATAGAAAACACAAGAAGTACCAAGTTGCCCGACGCAATGGAGGAAATAAAGGCTGAGAAAGCTGCGCAGCTGATTCTCACCGACACATCGACTTGGGCATTGAGCTGGCATGTAGCAGATAGCATACGTGCTCCGCTTTCATCTCTATTAGAGGGCAGTTCTACAATGTTGGAAATGCTAGTTTATGTAATAACTCCTGCAGTCGACGAGACATGACACTAAGTGATAACGAGAGAACACACCTAAGAAGGGACACAACTCAGACGACTCCCATAAATTGTTGCTGAAGGATGATGGTGACTCGTAAGTAGCTGATTTGGTCACTTTGTTCGACGATTCCTCCTCTACAAACGATTTCCTGACGCGCTGTGGAAGTCGCAGAGGACAATCAATGGCGAGCATCGAGCAGGGTGGATAGACATGCGGATGTCACTGGGTACACCTTCCCGTATTCTTAGCGCCCCGTTTCAACTGCACTCCAAATACCCGCAGTATTTAACCCCAAAACTTTGGCAATTCCCACTCTACTTTAGTAGTCGCTTATGGTTTCAACTCAAACACAATCACAGGGCGTCGATCTGGTACAATCGACAAGTTGATGTCCGACCAAGCGGATGACGTCATCGACCCTCGCTAAGGCCGACACGCCTCAACGTGCGCACTTAGTTACACGCTGGCGCTGGCCCGAATACTAGTAACCCTATCCATCGATGTCTGTTGCAAGACCCAAGCTCT